CTATCCTATTTTACAAAGTGTTTTTTAAGTTAACACGTGGAAGCATGGTAAAATTTCTTATGGACACATCAAACATCGACATCCAATAGGTGAAAATAAAACCGCGTGAGTTCAAACTTCATATGTCATATGCCCATCATGCGTCAACCGCACAGTAGGAAAAAGAAGAAATATCAGTGGCCTATGTCACCTAAGCACTCATAGTTCCACTGCGACCCGTTACTCCATTAAAGGGTGAAGGTCATAGGGTGAAATAATTTATTTTATTTGTTAAAGTTATTGTATGATGGTATTACGTGTAAAATTATTATTTGTTAATCAAGATGTCACTAATCATTAAAGCGACGTCGTACCTCTGAGTAAACCATCCAACGTACTAAGCTAAAAGGTTGTCATTCCCCTTACCTGGGTTAGAGGGTTTATACACCTATAGATATCACGAACAGGGTAAGTGCATTTAGTTTTATTGCAAATTTGTACAATGTGTAACGGTTGGAACCGTTATTTTGTTTATATTTTGAATAATCTTGGTCATCCGACGTATTAAATTATATTTATGTATGTAATGACCGTCAAATTTTATACCTAACCTCTACAGCAATGAATGACACATGTTAACTTGTATATAAAATTATATTTTATTTTTTGGAATAAGATATTATGCTTTACTATATTTAAATATATTAAATAAAATTTTTCCTTTTCATAGTAATTTTAGTCTCTGTAAAATTATTTATTTAATAGTTAGAAATTATTTATTTATTAGTTTAAGCATTTTATCTAAATCCTTTTCAAATTTCCTTTCTTATATCATAACATTTTAAACCTTTTTAGCCAAAGACTACCTCTAGACGGTTTATATCTAGACGGTTTTGGTTCGAATACAATAAGAACTATTTATCTTGAAGATCATTCACGGTTCATCTCTAGACAGTTTCAAGTTCGATTACTATAAAAATAATTTTTACTGAAGATCGTTTTGGGTTCATATACTATAAGAATCATTTAACTTGAAGATTTTTGACAGTGTAGTCTCGATTGAGAATTATGAATAAGAATCCCAAATCACTTGGTAGAAGTTACCTGAGATTGATGTACCTCTATAGTTAGAGACGAAGGAATAAATACCTGATTTTCCCTTTAACTTACCGTATATTACCTTATGTACTTACAGATGAGTGCAATTGATTTAATTAATAAATTGTTTTAACTTTAAATTATGTGCAAATTTATGTGAATTAGAATTTCATACCTACCTGATCTAAAGCATATTTTAAGTATAATTTGTTAGTTATTTTCTATATTTTTTTCACTAATGTAGAGTTAAATGTATAAGCTTTAAATATAATGATGCCCAACTTCTTTTTCTTAGTTATTAGAGTTATTTAAAAACCTAACCCACGCCCTATAAATTGAGCTCGAACACATATATCAAAGTAGATAAAGTAACCAGTTACTCACGTTACAAATGATAAGAAAATGAATGGACTATCTATACAAAAACAATAAACATATAATATATTCACGTGTTAACGTTACCACATTATCCTGTGACGTTACTATATGATTGTATTCCGGGTAGAATTATTATTTGTTAATCAAGATGTCACTAATCATATAAGCAAAGTCTACCTCTGACTAAACGGTCCAACCGCTCATAGCTAAAAGATTGTCATCCCCTTGCCTGGGTTAGAGGGTTTACTCACCTATAGATATTGCGAACAGAGTAAGTGCATTTGGTTTTATTTCAAATTTGAAAAATTATAAAAAATGAAAGGACCATGTATACAACAACAATAAACATGCTAATATATTATTGAAAAAAAGATACTGTATTAAAAAAGCAAAAATAAATTAAATTTTAATTTTACAATAAAAACATGTCACTGATGTGTTAATGATGTCACCAGCTGGGCGAGATTCAGAAACTATTCATAAGTTTCAGGCTCTCGCCTAACTAATCTGACATCACCACCATAAACAGTGCATTTTGTTTTGACTGAAAATAAAATTTTGATTATATAATATTTATTTAAGATTCCTGATGTATCTCCACCAACAGAACCGTACTTGTCAATGAATAAAAGATAAGAAAAAATTTCACTAAGGGTTTGATATCTGCTCTTTTATTGATACAGTTTTCATTTTGATATGTGTGCTATTTCTAGAAACTGTCTTTTAGAAATATTAGTTTCTTTTTCTAATACAACGGCGTTATCATAGTCGATAATGTGGTCATTTTTATTGGCATGTTCTGCTAGTGCACATCTTTCAAGGTTCAACTACAGTCACTCTTGTGGGATGTGATACGATCTTTTAAGCATCTCGGTGTTTGGCCAATATATGTAATTTGTCTTTTTTTGAAGATGAATATAATCATGTTCGAAAGCTTGAAATAAATTACTTATAAGAGTACACTTTGTGAGAATTTCTTCCTGAATAATCTAAAAATTCCCTTAATTCAAAAGTATCTTAGTCAGCAAATATATATATATGATAAATTCAATATGCACACTAGTTAGAGGAATATCAAAAAATGTTATTATATTTATTTATTAATATTATATTCAAAAAGTAATTAAATACAATAATTAAAAATGTATTCATTATTTAGCATTTCTAATTTTGCTTGATTGGTATTCATCAATGCTGCTCTTAATGGCGTTCAATAATGGATACGGGTCGCCATAAATTCCAGAAAAATCATCAAGCTCCAACGCCCACATCATTATTCCTCCCAAATTTTGGTCCAGGGCATGCTTCACCTGATTAAAAAATTAAATCTATGAGTTAACAAGGATCTGTACAAAATCCTACCACACGTACTTTGGATCAAAATGTTAACAAATAAAATAAATGTAACCTAATACAAAGTGGCTCTGTTTGGACGCTGTGTAGATTTGAATATATAATTTAAAATGAATTAACAATTTTATTAAAATTTATGAATGTTTGAATGCATAAAAATGGTCTTACTGGAAATAAAATGCTCAAAATGTTCTCTATACGTGATATAAATATTAACAAAAAAATTTTAACTCTTTTTTACAAAAAACATTTCTAAAAAAAAATAACCTTAGTGACTGAAAATATTTATTTTTGATGATATTGAGCCCTAACAAACATATTACAAAAACTATACAAAGTGTTTATCTTATCTCCAGAAAAAAAATCAACAAAAATAATGGTCTCATTTACGTTTAACTTTACAGTCCCTTACATATTTCAATGAGAATTTGACACCTCTATTTAATAGCCAATCAACGTCTCTTATTTTAAAACGTTTTCATGACCACCAGAAACAATTATCGTTTTAAATATTTGAGCGGGGTTATCATCCTCCTAAGAACAAAATTGCATTTAACAGCAATGCCTACCTTTTTCAATTCTGACTACATAAGTGGTGTTTAACAATCACCAACTATGGACCTTAACAAGGTATGATTGCGTCAATAACAAAACTTTTTGTATATGGTACGAAGCACAATCTGCTAGAGGTGCAATCAGGTTGATTCCTGCTTGTATAAAGAACTTTTTACTTTACCACTAAATATTAGGAATATAACCTTCTATTCTGATACGTGTGGTGATCAGAACAAAAGTGGTCACATGGTTATGATGTTTATTGCTTTGATGCCAAATTCAACTTTTGAGATAGTAAAGCACACGATCTAAATATCCGGCCACACGGGAATGTAAAGTGATACTTAACTGTAGAGAAAGAAAAAGAGCATTATGAGGGTTTTATCGAATATTCCAGAGACTGCTTTCAGTTGGTAAAATCATGTGAAAAAAAATATATACGTTTAAAGTACAGGATATGAAAAAGGATGATATTATTGATTTCTCCTTCATTATACAACCATTTGGTATATTTTCCTACAAATCTTTCAGAAAGATGTTATTTTGCAGAAGAGGCCAAACTCCTCTCTTTCTACGGATCTTCCGAAATGCAAATATCCCAACTGTATATCAGAGTAGAGAAAAAAATAATTTGAGCGAACTACTGCCCTAAATCGGTATAGTATATTACCATTTAAAAAAATCTACTTACTGAGAGAAATATCAAGAACACTTTACTGGATTTAGATGAAGCTTCTTTAGATGATAATAAGTATAAATGGAGTTAGGTACTGTTTTTGTTTGTGCATTTTGAGTTGTGTTTGTTTTTATTCTTAAACCAACATGTTTTTATTTTGGATAAGTATAAAATTTTATGATTTTCGACTAAACAAACGTGTTGTTTAATCAATATTGGTTTAATTTTATATGAATTTTTTTTACAAAATTCAACTGAAAATTGGACCGTTTTGAAAATCAGTCCAGTTGAATTAAATGAGACTTGTTTAAAGTCAGGTAATTTCAAAGATTTGCAGCCTAGTTTTTTCCAAAGTGGAACTGGTACATAAAATGTGCTCTGCAGATTCTTCTTTTACGCAGAATAAACAGTTCGCTGTTTGTTGCAGTCCCATCCTTCTCATGTAGTTACCCAGGCGACAATGTCCTGTCATCGGTCCCGTGAAAATGCGAAGATCCTTCCTACTGCATTCGTTGGTTATACAACTTATAAACACCTTCCAGTATGTTAGCCCTGGGGTTTTCCCTAGTTGCACCCTCCATCCATTTCAAGGTGATTCGTTGGCAGTGCTCTTTTTAATGCCCAGACATGGTTCTGGTCCTATGAAGTCAGATTCGGATCCACATTCAGCGACTGCATCAGCTTTTTTATTTCCCTCCATACCGCTGTGTCCCGGAACCCAGAATAAAGTAACCTTATTACGGGCACCAAGACACTCAAGGGTATTTGTACAGTTCCAAACAAGCTTTGAGTCGACTCGATTGGATCTGAGATCCTTGTGAGCTGCCTGGATAGTCGATTTGCGGGATGAAAATTAATTAACTCTTTCGCTCCCAATTCCATAGCAATAATTTTGGCTTGGAAGATCTTGGCCAGAGAGTGTTATTGATATTTCATCTCTTGGCTTCTGGTCGACAACTTCCACCTGCGAAAGGATTTTATCCTCATGCTCAATACGTCTCTTTCTAAAATTAAGACGCTGTATGATTTTTGTATGTGCTGTCGGGGTACTAGATATTCTGGGACCATGAAAAGTATGTGATGGTTATTGATCTTACTCCTCAGCCCCGTCTTTTCCCATCACATTTTTTTGATGGATTTATGGCTAGTCTCAGTTTATGTTTGATTATCAGTACAGGCTTTGTTACTGTTTCTCAGCCCTACGTTAGAAACAGCACTGGTAATTAGAAACCAACAGTAAATGGTCAGAGTGTCCTCACTTCACTCATCATATCACATATCTAGGCATCAGAAATATTTTTAAATTATTATAATGAGCAAACCCCGGCCAACGGTGGAAATCGAACCCAGGACCATTGAATCTCTAATCACTGAGCCACCTACCCCCTCTCTTCGCAGTTATTCATTGCATTGTCTACTTACCTTCAGGAGTCTATACGAGACCATTCTGAAATCTTTTTCCAGCAAAATGTGGAAGGTCTTTAGGTCCATCATGCTCTCCATGACTCCCGTCGGTGTAGTTGACATTGCCTCAGTGTTGTCAAGGCTCACAAGCAGCTGGATACAAGCGAGCTCTGCTCTAGTCGTCCGCTGTAGTCCCTTGTCCCACAAATATTGTAAATACTAATCTAAAAATTGCCGTGATTAGTAGTAATGACTAATGTGATGCAAATTTGGGCGCAAATGACACCATTATTTTTGTTGACCTGTTTATGGAGCACAGGTGAACCATTAAAGGTTGTAGGCGTAAATACCATATTATACATGATTTAAATATTTGTATTTTATGATGATGCTATTCATGCCTCATATACAAGAAAAGATAAGTAACAATTTTTATTTAATAACCCACTAACCTTTGTTTTTACAGTTGCTTCGTTATCATAAGTAAGCCATTCATCATCGTAGTAAGCATAGTTTGTACCATCAGAAAATTCAACATGAATATCACTTATTACATTTAAAATGTCCAAGACCTGCAAAAAAAGAAAATAATGGTTTATTTATGCATATTTGGTAATATAGTGAACACATTAATAGATGTAATTATTTATAATGAAACTTATACATATGAGGAGCTGGCGGGGGAAGAACAATGAATGTGCAAAAACTTTGAATTGAAGAAAATTAAATTTTTCACTTTTAATCATGGAAGGTATAAATATTACTTTAAATAATTACTTACAGTAGTGCAGTATCATGTTTAAGTAATTACCAAGAGTGGTGTTACGAAAAAACCTTTTGATTTTTGATTTGTCTTAGGAAGTATTTTTGGGACTAGAATTGTCAGAGTAGATACCTATAGAACTGACTGCACCATAAAATAATTCACAATCAATGAAAATATAAATAACATTTTTATTTTAAAATTCTCATGACAATCAACCACTTAACGTATGACGTCTTCATCAAACTTATCTACAAATGCGGGGTAATGGTAATACTAGCCATCGTTTCATCCAGATAAAGAAACATCTATATATGTGTATTTTTTTCGTCTTAATATTTTTGTAATTATTGTTATTTTAAACACTTTCAGACTCTTTTCATCTTTATTAGTTTTCGACTATAACTATTCACTCAGGACACCCCTTTACAGGCTTGAGTCTCTCTTAAGATGGAGTATTGAAAATATTGTTTCTGAAAAGAGGTACTCATTTTTAGCTTAGCTTAGCAAATACGGTATGTAATTTTGGACCGTCTTGCACTTTCAATTTTGCCAATTAGTATATGTACAAATTTTCAACTCTAAATTCAAATGGATTGATTATAAAAATATTTATATTTTAGAGATAAATAAAACTCACAATCTAAAAAATCATTCAAGAAAGGAAAGTTCGGATAATTATTTTCATCATCAGGCGTGTAATATAAAAAAAAACAAAATTGAAACAGGTTGCATTTAATAAAGAAAATGTATACCCAATTTAAGATTTAATTGAAGTTAGTTTTCAAGTCTTTCTTATAACATTCTTTTTGTATAAAGATACTTTTTCTTTTAATACAGTCACTGACTGTTTTCATCGCCTATTATATCAATAAATTCTATAATAATACGTCAACTTTAATTAGACGTATATTCACTTACTTTATATTCGTTGTTGTCTACGTTTTAATAAAAAAACGATATTTTACCACTTTATGTCCCCTGGATGTCTTGTAACTGTTACACAACACATAATTTGTTTTATATTGTTATTTAAAAAAAAAGAGATTATTAACTTCTATGAATTATGTAAGTATACATTTTATTGTAATTTAATGTAACTGAGTTAGCTGAAAGTAGTAGCTACTTCACTATTCGCAAAACATTTTATGTGGTATTGAATAACGCTACCATATTCAAGACTCAAAATTTCTTACCTAATCTTAAAAGATAAAATTAAATTTATATGCTATATAGTGGAAAAAACACAAAAAAGTACACATAAACTATGCTCTTAAAACAAAAATACCTCATAGTAAGACAACAGACCATCTTCTTGTGTGAAAAGTCCTGGACGTCCAATGCCGGCTACAGGAGCCCCAATGCCATTGTTATTAGGGTCATCAAGAACAAAATTTTTGGCATAAGCTGGTATGCCCAGAATTAGTTTTTTTGATGGAAGGCCACCATCTATCCATTTGGAAATTGTAGTTTTCTAAATAAATTAATAAAATTAAACATATAAGAATAGCTTATATTGTTAATTTACTTTCCTAATAATTTTATTTTGGTACTCACAATGTCTGATAGAGGTGCAGATAAACCAGTTACTTTAGAATCGGATGAAATATAATCATACGCCATCAAATTCACTGAATCAATTACCCTAAATAAAAATTCATAAATTAATCAATATTTTTATTAAAACTATGATAAGTACAACAAATTACTTCTTACTAAATTGCTTTGAAAAAAACAAAAAAGTTGTTAAATGAATATACCGGATATATTTGATACTATGTCAAATAATGAAGAGCAGCAACTTAGCCAGTAAACTCAAAAATGTAAATATCAACTGTTATTTTACATGTACTCTAATTTAAATCAATTCAATTAAATGACAACTTGAGACTATTACACGGTGATGTTAAAATAAGCAATTCACATTAGACTGAAAACTAGAAAATATCAATGTCGTCTGTGTTTATTGAAGCCAGCTCTTTTATTAATAGAAATTTCAGAAAAGTTTACAAAATATCCAAAAATATGAATGCTACAGTACTAGTTTTTCAGGTTGAAGTAACCCAGAAGAAAATAACTATTATTTTATTAGTAACAAATACCAAAGTGAAATAATCTTGTTACGTATCTAAAATGTTAACTGTGTGAAAATTAGAAGAAATGCATTATATGTATATAAAGAATGGGGAATATTCTTATAATTCCATTTAAAAGCTACTGGTATAATGAAACAAATTCACAAAAAAAACTATGTGAAAAAGTTAGAATACTCTGTGGAAAAATAATTTTTCAAAACAAGTCTTACATGTAAACGGTTATGGAGAACAGTTGGCCAGGTTAAAAAATAATATATTATAAGAGAAAATATAATATAAAATACAACAAAATAACAGAAAATATTACATAAAATATAACCCAAAATATAACAGAAAATGTAAAAGTGACTATAATAGAAAATATAATAAAAAATATAAATGAAAATATTAGAGAAAATATTAAAGAAAATATTAGAGAAAATATGAGAGAAAATGTAAGAGAAAATAGAGGAGAAAATATAACAAAAAGTATAACACAAAATATAACAGAAAATATTAAAAATAATAATATAACAAAAACTATGACACACAATAAAGGAAAATGTAAGAAAACATATAACAACAAATATAACAGCAAACATAACAGGAAATAAACCAAAAATATAAAACAAAATATAACACTGTGTTTGGTATGAACTAGCGGAACGCACCTTAAGCGTCAATTGTCCATGTCATGCATGTCAGGTCCTCGAGGTCACTCATCATGGTTTTGTTCATCGTTGTAACATTCATGTATAAGTTCTCATTATTCACTTATGTTTTAATTAAAAGTTATATACCGCTAAATGCTTTTATTGAATATAAAACATGGCGCAGCCTATGGAAAAAAGTGTAGGAGATGTGGAATTGAAAACCATTTTGAAGCAGCATGCAGAGTAAGAAATATTAGAGAGGTATCCCAAGATGAAATTGTTGATGAAAGTAGCAGCAATGAAGATTTGTTTGTGAATAATGTAAGAGTAAAAAATTTTGAATCGGTAAGTGTTTGGGAAGAAATTTTAACCATTGAAGATAAAAGACTTAAAGTTAGGTTAGATACTGGCGCGGATGTTAGCGTCATACCACATAAAATTTTTAAATCAATAAATAAACAATTTAAGGTTAGACCCACTGAATACATATTAAAAGGGTTTGAAGGTTCACAAGCAAAACCTATCGGTATCAGTAACTTACATTGTAAATACAAAAATAATGACATATATGAAGACTTTGTTATTGTAGATGGGGCAAACCAGATTCTTTTAGGTGGACAGGCATGTTTGAATTTAAAATTGGTGAAAAGAATAAATAATATAAAAATAGAGGAACAAAGTATGTGTCCTAAGAGAGAAAAATTTATAAAAGAAAATTTAGAGATTTTTAGTGGATATGGTAAGTTTTCTAGCATACACAATATTACTACCAAAGAAAAATTTGAGGCTGTTAGCCACCCCCCTACAAAGGTTCCTATTGCAATACGCGCTGAATTTAAAAAAGAGTTAGATAGATTGGTGGCGCGACAAGCTATCCGTAAGGTAGATGAGATTGCACCTAATGCAAGTATTAATAGAATTGTGTTAGTTGAAAAAAATAATGGGAAAATTAGGCTTTGCTTGGATCCCTCTGATCTGAACTCCCAAATTGTTCGCAAACCAAAATTAGGGCTAAATATTGAAGAAGTATGTGCAGAGTTAGTCGGTAAAAAGATATTCACAGTATTTGACCTTGCAGAAGGCTATCACCACTTACAACTGAATGAAGAGTCATCATGGAAATGTTGCTTTGCAACCCCATTCGGAATCTACAGGTTTATGGTTTTACCATATGGCTTATCGAATTCGCAAGATCTCTTTCAAGAAGAGGTAGAAAAAAATTTTGCAGATTTAAAAAATGTTACAATTTGCCATGATGACATGATAGTTTCAGGAGCCACAAAATTAGAACACGACCAAGCAGTAAATGAAGTGGTAAAACGGGCAAAACAGGTAAATGCCAAGTTTAATAAAGATAAATTTCAGTATTGTCAAAATAAAGTTAAATTTATGGGACAAATGTTTTCTGAGGAAGGAATGCAAATCGACCCAGATAGAATTGAATCACTATGTAAATTGAACGCTCCTAAAAATAAAGTTGAATTACAAAGGATAATTGGTTCATTTAATTATGTGAGAAGATATGTAAAAAATATGTCTGAACTTATACACCCCTTGTGTGAATTATTAAAAAATAACGTTGAATGGTCTTGGTTACCCAAGCACCAAGAAATTTTTGAAAATTTAAAAAAATGTATTTGTCAATCGCCAGCTCTTGTTCCGTTTGACCCATCAAAAAAGATAATTTTACAATGTGATGCATCAAAAAATGGTTTAGGTTGTTGCATGTTCCAGCAATATGACAATAACATTTTGAAATTAGTAGCATGCTCATCACGTACGATGAACGATCATGAGGTTAATTACAGTCAAACGGAGAAAGAACTGTTGGCAATATATTATAGAACACAGAAATTTCACGATTTTATTTACAAATTTAATGTTGATGTACAATCTGACCATAAACCTATCATTTCCATCATGAAAAAACCCATTAATAAAATAGGGTCAGTTAGACTACAACGTTTACGATTAAAACTTTTAAAATATTCCATTAATGTATATTATGTACCTAGTAAAAATGTGCAATTTGCCGATATGCTCTCAAGATCTAGTTTAAATTGTAAAGGTAAACCTGATTTAGAAATGTTTGAAATGGTACATTTGGTCACTAAACATTTGCCTATGAGTGATGGGAAAAAAGATCAGTTTAGATTGGAAACTAGTAAAGATACCCTGTTAATGAAAATTCATGATTTCTATTATAAGGGCTGGCCAAAACAAAATATGATCCCCGAAAATTGTAAACCTTACTATCCACTAAAAGACTCTATATATGTAGAAGCAGGAATAATTTTTGTAGACGATAAAATTATAGTCCCAAAATCTCTTAGATTAGATATGTTAAAGTTATTACATAAAGGCCATATTGGTATTAGTAAAGCCACAAACAAGGCTCGTAAGTTGTTTTATTGGCCTAATTTATCTAATGATATCATATCATACATAAAAAGTTGTCGTATTTGTGAAAAATACATGCCTTCCAATTATAAAGAACCCCTTTTGCCTCATTCAGTACCAACACTTAGATTTAACAAAGTAGGGACAGATATATTAGAATTTGGTAACAACTATTACCTAGTTCTAATAGACCATTTTTCTCATTGGCTTGAGCTAATTTTATTAAAAAATAAAACTTCTGAATGCATTATAGATGCGTTCCAACAAATTTTTACCAGATTTGGGTACCCCCAATACATAATTGCTGATAACATGCCTTTCACATCAAGTTATTGTAAAGAATACTATAAAGATAAAGACATTACAATTAGAACATGCTCGCCTCACTTTCACCAGAGCAACGGCATGGCAGAAAAAGCTGTGGGTATAGGAAAAAGAATTTTAAGAAAATGTGTTCAAGATAAGTGTGATTTCAGAGAATGTGTGCTTGAGTATAATAATTCTCCTATTATCAATTTAGATGCTTCACCGGCCCAAATTTTACAAAGCCGAAATTTAAAATGTCAGTTACCAATAACTAGTGCAAATTTAGAACCAAAAATTCAGACACACATTTATGAAAAACTTTCCAAACAAAAAGAGACAATGAAATCCAATTATGATAAAGTAGCCCGAAAAAAACTTATAGATTTTAAAAACGGAGAAAATGTAGTTATAAGATGTAGTCATGAGAAAACATGGTCAAAAGCTACTATTATAGAAAAAGCTTCAGAACCTAGATCTTATTGGGTGAAAAAGGAAGATAATAATAGAATTGTTAGGCGTAATACATCTCAGATAAAACTCTCACACACTAAACCAGAAAACAAATTCATTTGCGAGCCTGAATTAATTCCTGACAACAATATTACATGCCAAAACAACAATCAATATAACAATTCCATTATTAACACCCCTGAATCTATAAGATCCCCGGATAGTAGATACAGTTGTCATAGTAGTTCCAATAGTAGTGGTAGCAGTAGTAATAATGTTAATTTGTTAAATGACAGACAGGACCTAATACGCTCTCGATATGGCCGCGTAATAAAACCACCCCGACGCCTTGATATGTAATCTAAAAGGGGAAGATGTTTGGTATGAACTAGCGGAACGCACCCTAAGCGTCAATTGTCCATGTCATGCATGTCAGGTCCTCGAGGTCACTCATCATGGTTTTGTTCATCGTTGTAACATTCATGTATAAGTTCTCATTATTCACTTATGTTTTAATTAAAAGTTATATACCGCTAAATGCTTTTATTGAATATAAAACACACTGAATATAACAGAAAATGTAAGAAAATGTAATAAAATGTAATAAAATGTAATAAAATGTAAGAAAATGTAAGAAAATGTAAGAAAATGTAAGAAAATGTAAGAAAATGCAAGAAAATGTAAGAAAATGTACGAAAATGTAAGAAAATGTAAGAAAATGTAAGAAAATGTAAGAAAATGTAAAAAAATGTAAAAAAATGTAAAAAATTTAATAAATATATGAAAATATAAGATAATGTAAGAAAATTTTGGAAAATGTAGATTGATTCCAATTGAACGTGAGTTTTAACTCATTGGCAACCAAACATACCCGGAAACCACTGGTCCTCTTCCTCTTTAGTAGTTAGTAGCAGAATCAACGCAGCGAGAACTACTGGTAAGTACCGAGTTTTCCTTTTGTGTTTTAGTTTAAATAGATAAATTTTCCTGGTTAGAAGATTTATTCTATTATAGGTTAGGTGAATGACTTTTGAAATAGAAGAATTGATTGATAATAACAGAAAATTTAGCAGAAAATATAGCAGAAAATATAACCGAACATATAAAAGAAAATATAAGAGAAAATATTAAAGAAAATATTAAAGAAAATATTAAAGAAAATATTAAAGAAAATATTAAAGAAAATAATAAAGAAAATATTAAAGAAAATATAATAAGAAAATATATTAAGAAAATATAATAAGAAAATATAAGAGAAAATATAAAAGAAAATATAATAAGAAAATATAAGAGAAAATGTAATAGAAAATAGAGGGGAAAATATAAGAGATAAATATAACAAAAAGTATAATACAAAATATAACAAAAAATATAAGAAAAAATATAACAAAAAATATAATAGGAAATAAACCAAAAATAAAAAACAAAATACAAATAACACCGAACATAACATAAAATATAACACAAAATATGTCAGAAAATGTAAGAAAATGAAAAAAAAAATTAAAGGAAATGAAAGAAAATTAAAGAAAATGTAAAAAAAATCTAAACAATTTTAAAAAACGTAATAAATGAAAATATAAGATAATGTAGAAAAATGTAGGAAAATGTAAGAAAATATAAGAAAATGTAAGAAAATATAAGAAAATGTAAGAAAATGTAAGAAAATGTAACAAACCGTAAAAAAATGGAAGAAAATTAAAGAAAATTAAAGAAAATGAAAGAAATTTAAAGTAAATTAAAAAAATGTTATAAAATGTTAGAAAATGTAAGAAAATATTAGAAAATGTTAAAAAATGTTAGAAAATATAAGAAAATGTAAGAAAATATAAGAAAATATAAGAAAATGTAAGAAAACAATGTAGAAAAATTAAAGAAAATGTAGGACAATGTAGGAAAATGTAGGAAAATGTAGGAAAATGTAGAAAAATGTAGGAAAATGTAGGAAAATGTAGGAAAATGTAAGAAAATGTAGGAAAATATATGAAAATGTAGGAAAATGAATGAAAATGAAGGAAAATGTAGAAAAATGTTAAAAAGTGTAGGAAAATGCAGGAAAATGTATGAAAATGTGGAAAAATGTGGGAAATTTTAACAAAATTTAGAAAAATGTAAAAATCTAAGAAAATGAAAGAAAATATAATAAAATATAGGAAATGTATTAAAATTTAAAAAAATGTAAGAAAAACATAATAAAAATATATTAGCTAATATAACAGAAAATAAACACAACACAACAGAAAGTTCAACAAAAAAATAAACCAGAATAGATTACTTTTACTACGATAGAGTGAACGATTTGATTTTGCGTATTCATTCAGTTAGTCAACTTATTAACATAATTTTCACTTTAATGCATTATAAAACCTATATTCTAAAATTAATTTTCAAAAACTCTAAATCATGAATTGTGATGCAAAGATGATTCAATAACCACAAAAAACAGAACAAAAATATTGACGAATCCAAGATAAGGCGAAATTATTAAGAACTGACATACAAAACAAACCAGTCACTATATTGATAACCTAAAACGACAGTTTTATCTTAATATTGATATTTGAAAATAAATAAGTTAAAAAACATCAAGTTATTGCAAGAATAATCGAATAAACAAAAAATAAATATTTTTTAACTATGCCTTGGAAAAATGCAGGTACGTCTAAGAGTACAATTCTTTTTTTTATATGTCATTTTGGATTTAATTTAGTTTTGTAGTTATCCCATACAAGATTCGTATCTCTTTCTTTGCCAGTCATGTTTGAAAGATTAGGAATAGGTTTAAAATAATGCTCCTGTTCTTGCTTGACAATGTTTCTAAAGCAATAATTTCTGCCTTTCTTACTGTTTCGAAAAAAGTAGATTTTTATTTAAATAAACCTTCATTGTCGTGTAAAATTACCAGTTGCTTTAATTTGTTAATTAAAAACTAAAATGAATATAAAAAATACAAAAAAAACTAACTTTGCTATGTCTCGTATTTTGTATCCAACACCAATAAGAGTGTCATCAATTGAAACTGCTATAGACAATTTCAAACCCCATGGAGAAAGTTTATTTTTAATCTCCTTAAGAAGAGCAGCAAAGTTGTCTCCATCTTGAGATAGACCACCTCTGATCGTAGGATATTCCCAATCAATGTCAATTCCATCAAATTTGTAATACACCAAAAACTGTAAAACAGATTGGGCAAACTTTTTGCGACTTTCGTCGGTTGCAGCCATCTAAAACAATTTTATCTGTAGTAAAAGATAATGAAAACATAAGAAAAATCCAAAAATTGTTTGCATGTTAGTAAAGATGATGAGAATATCTTTTAAAGTCTAATCTTTTCACCTCTGAGTAAAGTTGAAAGTAATTACTTGCTGATTAAACTATAGGGCTATTGTTCGTTAATCTGTCAAGTAAAACAACATATAACTTTACTCAGATATGACAAAATCGGCCACATATGAAGTATAACATGACCAGAGTTACTGTTTATAGATAGTGAAGCTTTCTATCGTACGTATCAAGTAAAGTGCATCCCCTTATACCAAAAATTTAATAAGTTTATGCCTCTGTCTTCTTCCATTTTGAAGTCCTCACTGTATACAGTTGTATAAGTTTTTATAAAACTAGTGATTCTTTTAGAGATGACAAATAAATTTTCTAAATTTACGCTACAGTTTAATAGATGGCGTTTAAATTTGATGCAGTATTAATAGTAAAGTTGATGTGTGTATTTAGTGTAGTAGTGACTATTGAATGAACTATGAATTGTTATATGTATATTTATACATTATTCTTTAAAAATATACTAGTTATTGCCAGGATATTTTTTAATATTTTATTTGTGTATAATCGCTATTACGAGAGATATTTCTTGGGTGATATCGTTGAGGATGAATTATTATACCAGACATCAAAATTATCAGGTGTTTCGTAAAGGGTTTTCGGCGGATGTGGGATATATTTTATGCCTCGACAACTAATACATTAAGCATAATGCTAATGATCAATGGTAAACGAATAAATCAATCAAAATTAAGTAAAATATCGTTAGAAGTTACTAACTTGAAAATAATGTCCAGCCATTTCTCTTTATATAAAAAAAATTCCTAAAATTTTATTCGAGGTATAGTTTTAGAAATGTAACCGTGAAATAGTTTTGTAAACAAAAATATTGTTTGTACAGATAAAACATACCTATTACTCATTTTTCAGAAAAGGGGCAGTATGACAACACGTCACGATGTTTTAAAAGAGCAAAAGTAAGAGGTAGTTGCTTGATTATCGCGCAAAGTAAGAAAACTAGCAACACTGCAAAGTTGTAAACTTCTGTTTATTTAGTAGATCAGTCCAAATATAACTTGTTTGGCTTGGGGCTGAACTAAAGAAATCTGTTATTTCTTGAAGCAAATTTGTGAAGTCAGGATTTCAACTTGTTTGACAGGTCCTCTACTTTTAAGACTTAACTCTCTCACACTTCCTTGACACGAAAAAGAGAGAGAGCTGTCATGGTGGGATAAGATTTTATCATTTCAACGGCATGCTAAACACATAATTTAGACTAATCTTACAAAAAAATGTCTTCTTCCAAGAAGAGCTACTAACTATATACACAAAATCGGATGGCCTTAGTATTGCTTATTTTGCATTGGTGCACACTTAGAGGTGTAAATTAAAAATAACTGTGAAATTTGAAATAAACTTTTATTTTTAAATTTATATAACGTATCTACTTCAAACAGCTAAAAAAAACTAAAAATTTAAAAAATAGGCTACAGTTAAACATTGATGTATGTGACACAAAGAAACATGTTACACAATAATGCTTTTTGCAGGCTATACCTATGTATTTTGTTCTTGTGCAGTTATTTTGAGCAATATTTCTGCAAAATCTTCTGCCATTTTTGTGTAGCATTCTGTAATTCGTTTTCTAAAATTTTCGGCCTCTCTTACATTGTGATCCTTGTTCCCGTTTTGTATGACTTCTTTGAACATCAAAAAATAATTTATAGGAGCTGTACCTTAAACACGTTCTATGGCCAATTTCAGATACCATTTTTTTCCCAGCGAAGACAGTGATAATACGCGTACATTTGATCTGATAGATCTGTGTACTCCTTTGACATGTTATAATCCAGAATAAGTAGTTAATGAGTATGATAGGTACAGTCATCAAACTTCGCATGTGCGACATCTGTCACCTGTCATTTGTTGACTAAACTAACATCTGTCAGCTGTCAATCCAGAGTTGCCAACAAGCTAGAAGGGCCTAAGCTTCAATCTCCATTATTACTGGTCCGATTGGAATGGGGAAAACGGGGGAGTGTGGAGAATTAAATCTTTATTAACGTTGAATAGAAAAATCCTGCGCAGTAGCAATGCCAAAAGGACCAGTTATAACGGAGATTAAAGCTTAGACCCTTCTGGTTGACTGGATTGACAGATGTTAGGTTAGGTTGGCAACACTGTTGACAGCTGACATGACAGCTAATAGATGACACGTGACAGATTTCGCGCATGCGCAGTTTTAAAATTGTACCCAACATACCCATTAACTACTAGAATAGCTTCCGGTTTTGAAACGTCATTTACGGATATTTTGTTAATTGCAAAGTTTAGTGGGAAGCATTAAAATGTCGGTTGTGTCTTTCTACTTTAGTAATTCAATCTTATAACTTAATCGTCGGGAAAAAATGTCATGTTGCGCCAGTTTCATCTCAACAGCAGCTTTGCAGTTATTTCGATCGGGGCAAATTGTACCACTAAGTGAGTGTTGCGTTCTAGAAATTCTGTTACTAAAGCTACGCTGGTATAGTAGTAATCTGTAGAGTACGGAAGGTATCTAAAAGATTGTCTATCATTTCTATTATCATCTTTTTAGTAGCATCACCAGATTTTGCGGCATTTCGCTATACACCCGAACTTTGCAATTATAGCAATTTTCTAGGCTTTTCTTCATTCGATGCTTTAGACCTCAGGACATGCTTTGACAAGTAATAATCTTCATCGTCATGATATAAGGTACACGTGACTACCTCAGCAGGCCAACATTGCGTGCTACTACCGTGTACCTCAAATTCAAAAAATGTTATAATAAGTGGTAACAACTCATCAGATTTCAATATAAATTGCATAAATAAATAAATTTATAGAAAATTACCGGTTCATAAAAAATAAAACATTTTATTTATGCCGGGGTTTTAAAAGAGTGTCCCAATGTCAGTATTAATAATGTGTTGGATTACCTCAGGAAGATGGCCAGAACCACAAAAATAAAAGAGGACTGGGATACTTACAAATCTCGCCTCAGAGAATATAAAAAAAATCGTCAGACAAAAACAGAGAGATACATGGAGATCCTACTGCGAAAAAATCGAAGATATCCCGCAGGCAGCGAGGCTTCAGGAAGCTCTCTCAAAAGATCCACACCAGTATTGGTGCACTTATTAAAGAGGATGGCACGAAAACTGTCAACCTCGAAGATAGCATCAAACTTCTGCTTTCAACACACTTCCCTGACTCTGTCATCACAGACGTGGCCGTTTGATCAGATGAATAATACAATCCATCTGTTTATGATTGGCAAACTGCCAAACACATTGTAAATGATAAAAAAATTAGATGAGCAATATCCAGCTTCTCTCTATCTAAATCTCCAGGATCTGACGGTATCTATATAGCCCTACTTCAGTGGAGTCGGGAAGAACTCACACCGCACCTGTTGAGTATATTCAAATCCTCGTTGGCTCCGAGGTATATCTTCAAAAAATGGAGAGTGGAAAAAGTGGTATATAAACCCAAACCTGGAAGGATGGATTACACTGTCCCAAAAACATACCGACCAATTAGTCTGACATCGTTATCCATGAAGACATTGAAAAGGCTATTCTAAAGGTAAATAAGGGATTTGGTGATTACAGCAACACCACTACACCCAAACCAACTGCATACACCCCGGGCAGATCTACTGATTCAGCCCTTCATCTAGTTGCTGGCCGGAAAGAAAGATCCCTGGACAATAAGGAGTCCGCCTTGGGTGTTTTCATATACATAGAAGATGCTTTTCATAAAACCACCTTCTCAAAGATAATACACTCACTAACCAATAGGAATGTTCCACAAATGGTTAGTGGGTGGATACATAACACGCTCTCAAAGCGAGCAATAAACATAAGTGTAGAAGATGTGAATATAAGAGGGTTGGTTGCGAAAGGAAATCACCTCTACTGTGCAATATGGTCCTAGACACCATCATCAGCCGCCTCAGTAATGATAGTCACTACACAATAGCATATGCAGATGACCTGGTTATTCTGCAAACAAGTAATTTCGAGAAAATACTCTGCGAATGAATGCAAGTAGCTCTAAAAATTATAGAAGAGTGGTGCAAGGACCATTCACTGTCTATCAATCCTAAGAAGACAGAATTATCCATTTTACAATAAAAAAGATAAAAGTGGAATTAAAACCGCGAGAACTCCTAAACACAAAACTAAACTTTGCAACAGAGGGGAAATACCTAGGTCTCACCTTTGACAACAAGATAACATGGAACTTGCATTTAGAAAACAGAGTTAAAAGAGCATACATTGTTTATGAACAACGCCGGCGAACCGTGGTGTCCACCTGAGGTTTCTCCCCCAGAGTCGTTGCATGGACTGACACGGCTATGCTATGCTAGTATACGCCGCAGTTGTGTGGGTACCTAAAACCCAAAAATTAACAACTATCCGTAAACTAGAACAAATTTAAAGAACAGCATGTCTCAACATAACAGAAGCCATGAAAACAACACCGACCAGAGCCTTGGCAGTCATTCTTAGTCTCACTTCCCTTGATATTTACATCAGAGAGGTTGCTCTGATGACAATGACACGCCTCCGTGTTATAATAGAACAAATAGAAGAACCAGAAGTGGCATGTACGATTCATATCTACACCGACGGTTCTAAAACAAAACAAGGCTCAGGATGTGAAATATACTCCAGATTCTTAAACATAAACATAAAATGTGCTGTAAGCAATAGTGCCAGTGTAGTTCGAATAGAACTGACGGGGATTCTCATAGCAGCAAAAGAAATAACCAGAAACAATATTACTAGAAGGAACATGCTTATCTATACAGATAGCAGACTACTTACCCTAAAGAATATTACGAAGCTTTGGCCGAAGTATCCATCAACAATGTGGTCACCTTATGATGGATCGAAGGTCATGCCATATCGAAAGGTAACTAGCCAAGAAAGCAGCCAACCAAATACTTTTTGCACCTGGCCCTTCTATTGGCCTGACAAAATCGGTAGTGACAGACCTAATCAAAGAACGCTCCCTTATAAAATTTAAGGAAAGATGGGATGAAACAAGAAACTGCAGAGTTGCCAGGGAGCTCCTAAGTTATCTTGACAACACTGCAGCAAACAAATACTTGACTATGACTCGACAGAATCTGCGCCCAGTCACAGGAATTCTGACTGGTAATTGCCAAGTACGGAAGCATCTCCATATCATGGGGCTGTCAGAATCCGCACTCTGCAGAGGGTGCAAACAAGAAGATAAGACCATCGAGCATATCCTTTATGATTGCTCGACGCCCTATTGGCGACGTTGTCAACTAAATTAAATCTATAGGCTGGCTCACAAGCTAGGAAGTGCCTATCATCTGAGGAGGACGCACAATGGGCCTAATGAGGCCTAAGTACCGTGAAGATTACCCACCGTCCACACGTTACAGATACAGAGATACAGAACCAATGGAGTGAGAGTCCGAGGAAATCCAGCTAAAGATTTTACGTCTTCTTATATGGATCGGAAGGGTTACTTTTCACCAGTACTAATGAGTGAAAACATCTGCTGCATGTTAAGAATTGATAAGCTTTGTCTTAAGTATTTATGGTCTCGTTGCTAGTAATATTCAGTTACAAAATAATAAACGAAGAAGTCGTAAAGAATTTGAATCATTTAGGGCTATTAGTATGCAGTTAGGATATTTATCTAACGGAAGATTGTCTGAAATTTACAAGGGGGGTATTCGTTTACGAAGGAATTGCTGGTAAAATACGTCGTTTAAAAAGATATTGATAGATAAATAGATCTGACAACAAATATATCAAACCCATGTGTTACTAGCGAATATTTAACAATGAATGTCATTAGCTTTTGTACGGTTTGAGATGAAATTGTTGCTAGTAAACGACTCATTGCTATTCTAAAACCTCTCGAATTATATATTCTATGCTTTTAGAAAATGCCTGTATTTTACTTTGACATTTTTGAGTATAGTACATTTTTATACCGTTGGATAGGTAATGCTATGAAGAAACAATTTCTAAAATAATACAATATTTAAATTAACATAATTGAGAAAATTCAACTCAAAACTAGTCATATTTTGAACAGGATCAAAAAATTCTATTTTATCATAATTTCATTTTATTATTTTCTGCTTTCATAAAAAAAAAACTTAATTGGTTTTAAAAGTATTTAAAAACAGTATTAGTAGGTGATTCTAAAACCGCAATAATTCGTTTAAAAGCATTTAAAAACAAAATTAGTAGGTAATTTTGCAAACAAAATAATATACAGGGTGTTAAACTAATACCATATCTCCAAGATAAAGGAATAACATTCTGTATATCCAAAATTTTCAAGGAAATACACCATAAATATACAATCTCGGAATATTGTTAAAACAGAAAAATATATAGAATACTATTCCCTTATTTAATCATCCACTATTATAAATTTAAAAGGTAAACCGTAGGTAGGTAATCTTAAAAAGAATATAATATTTTAAATAACTTACAACAGAATATTTTATGGATCCTTCATTCCATCCTCCAATAGCCAAAACGGTCTTTAAACAAGGATTCTTTTCTTTCAAATTTATAAAGTTAGCAAAACCACCTTCAAATTAAAATTGTATTAAAAATAATTAAGGGCAATATCACAAGATTTGAGAATTGTATGAGGACATTTGAAATATTTTGAATTAAACCAAAATGTTTTGCGTGGCATTTGGAAAGATTATTTAACAATCTAACATAATAAAATGGAACTTTCAATGGTTGATGTATGAGAGATTCACAAAAATATGTTATATAATTAATTTCATATTTAAAATATACTTGCCATTTGAACCAAAATCTGCATTTGTATCTAGTGAGGTAATATCCATATTTATATCAAGGCCGACAAAGGAATAAACAACTGTAGTACAAATATCAGTGTTGATATGACTGGTATTAAAGTGACCTATATCTTTCCTGTAGATAGACCAGCTGCCCCAGTAGCAAACTATCTCCAAATCTTTATCATCTAAAAAGAATATTTATTGATTTATATTTTTATTAGTTTTGATATGTTTACTGAATATATTTTTTGAAGCTCCAGACAAAGTCGGAAAGCAATCTGGGAAATACAATGAATAGTAACCACGAAAAAAAAGTTAATTCAATTCGTACTATTAAAAGTGAGAGTTCCTATAGCAGCATTGATGTAGAAAACAAAACACGTGCATTGTCCATTCAAAAAGCTAGACGAGAAATAAAACTTCTAGAGAAACAAAATAAATTAAAATTGTTAGAAATGGAATAATGATATCTGATAGATCTAGTAAAATTTTTTCTGTTTCTAAACAAAATTCAATAAAATCCTTTCTCTCGTGTGATGTTAAAAATGCTGCTAATACTAGCGAGTGGGTGAAAAACATTTTCCTGCCACAATCACTTACAGATTCTCCCAGAGAACATGATTCAGAACTGAATCTTCTTTGCCAAACTGCTAGTAAAGCCATAAAAACTGTAGCTGATACATCAAAGCAAGAAAAATCGTTGCCAGACAAAATTGTCGAAAAAGATTTTCCTACATTTGATGGTAATCCAGAAGACTGGCCAGTTTTTATTTATTAGTTTTGCCCTATATTATCACTCTGTTCATATTCAAATGAAGAACGAATGATAAAATTAAATAAATGCCTCAGAGGAGCAGCTTGATCCGCAGTTTCAAGAATGATGTCTCCAAATAATGTAGATTTGGTTTTAAAAAATTTAGAATGATCTTTTGGAAGACCAGGCCAAAATACAGGACATACCGATTATCTAAGAAAATCATATGGAATGTCTAATTCTGTTCTCAAATCATGTACGAAGTTTGGTTGCTACTATTAATTTATTAGATTCCGACATTAATATGAATAATCCCCAAATTTTAGTAGGTAGTAAAATACCTTGAAAATGTTAACTAAGAACTATTTTCAAATTGGACAGATACTTTAGTTGCCGCTGCCTGTTAGGTTACAGTTCCAAAAATTATAAAACCAGATACAAACTAAAAGACAAATAGTAATAATTTTTATAAAAAACCTGAATCTTTATTTACCACTAAAAATAGACTCACAAAACCATAAAGTGTGTTCTTATTGTGAAATAAACGGACATGATGTAAAAAACTGCCAAAAATGTCCAGAGATGATAAAAAAACAAGATGGGAAAATGTCACAAAGAAAAATTTATGCTTCTTTTGTTTAAAGCCTAACTACGAAACCAATAAATGTAAGGCTAGACATCAATGTGGTGTTAATAACTGTAAAAGATCCCATCAGAAACTTCTTTATAAAAATCAGTATCGTCTAATGCTGAGAACAACGATCCTGAACCAGACCACCGTGCATCTAATGAATATGTAACCTATGTACCGGAAATTGTCTTAGCTGTTGGACATGGTACAAAAAATGTTTCGTTGAGGATGCTTAAAGTAAAATTATATAGACCACAGCTCTATTTGATGACAGTTCATCCGTTACACTAATCGACAAGGAAATCGTAGAACAATTAGGACTACAAAAAAAACTCCATTCTTTATCTGTGTAATGAAGGAATAATTTGTCTACTTGTCATGCAAACGCAAGCTGTCAAGTATTTAAAAAAGAAGATTTGACTAACTATTTTCATTTAAAATATCTTTCTTTGCCAAAGATTGATGAAAGAGTCTCTTAGGACATGATCAGATACGACTTACGGTAGCAAAAAAGGTAATACCAGGCCTTGGCAATAAACTTGTTGCGACCAAGACAACGTTAGAGTGGACTATGCATGAAGTATCTTCTAAAACTATGACACTTCATATAATGCTCTCCATAAATAAGTTAAGACCTTCTAATTATAAAAACATCTAATAGAGTGAGCGATAAATACAAAATAGGACTCTTATGGAAATTTACCTGTAAGCAGTATTGTAGCAATGAAAAGATTATCATATGAACCAAAGAATGCAGATTTCCAGAGACGCTATTCAGAGAAAATTCAAAGCTATCTAGACAAAGGTTACGCTAGCAAGCTCTCACTAGAAGAAGCTAAAATTGTGGGCCCTACAATCTAGTATCTTCCACATTTTGCTGTCATAAAGCCAAATAAACTTTGATTGGTATTTGATGCACCCTCGAAGTTACATGGTATAAGCCTCAACGATTACCTACTAGCCGACTCAGAGTATCTTCAACCATTGATAGATGTCTTAATGAAGTTTAAAGAAAGATAAATTGCCTTTTGTGCTGACATCAAGGAAATGTTTATTCAGGTGCGTATACGAGAGGCCGACCAACGTTCCCAACGCTTTTTGTAGAGACAAGGAGACGAAAACAGAGAGCACGATCCGTACGAGATGTTAGTTATGACTTTTTGAGCTACCTGTTCACTTACATGTGCATGGTTCATAAAAAATTTAAACGCCCGACAAGAGACTACTAGACAAGACGTTCTTCACGCTATATTTAAAAAACATTATGTTGACGACTATTTGGACTTCAGATAAAGAGGCCATTGGAAGAATTTAGGAAGTTAGGCACATTCAAAAACTGGGGGGATTGATCTAGTCAATTGGATATCAAACTCCAAACAAATTATGGATACCTTGTCAAATGATGACGTCACCTGCAAAGATATGTATCTATAGTTCAACGAATTTGCAATATATCGAGTATTAGGAATCTCATGGGATGCGAAATTATATACCTTGTGTTTTAAATTGCATTTGGAAGGGCTAACATAGAGTAATAGTGAGAAATTGACCGAACTTTGTAATGCTTTTTAACCTGCTTGGACTGATTTCAAACTTGACAAAGCCAGGATTTTAATCCAGGGCATCTAAAAATACAAAATTGGATGATAAGATGATGCTCTTGATGCAGAACTTTACCAATATTGGACATTACAGCTCAGGGATTTGAACAAGCTTGGTAATGTAAGAGTTCCCAGATGCTATGGTAAAATATTTCCGATGCTGACAGAGAGGAACTTTGACGCCAGTAAAAAGGCATTTGTTAGTGTAGCATATTTTAGAATTATCAGCTTGGACACTATTAAAGTCTCTCTAGTAATGTCAAAAGCTCGAGTTGGGCTAATCAAGCCAATCTTTATTCCAAGAATGGAGCTCCTAGCAATTTTTCTAGGAGTTACGTTGATGATACATTACACAAAGTTTATTTATGGTCTGATTCATACACAGTATTCCACTCTATTAAGGAAGATGAAAGTAAATTGGGACAATTCAAGGCACATAGAATTAGATACCCTCCAAACTCAGCGCTGCTGATTAGGCTACTAGAACACACGCAAGAGAAAATAGTGATCTCAATATACTTAACTTTAACGATTGTTACAGAGGCCCTGAATCCTTAAATTTTAGACACGACAGTGATTGGTCAATTGACAAAAAATGTAAGTATGCAAAACCACCAAAACCACCAGATTTTCTATGGAAATCCTAATAGTCATAATAGACAATGAGTCTGATTTAAGTGAGCTAAACATCGATAGATTTTCGAAATGGTTAAGGTTACTTAGGTCAACAGCGTGGGTGATACGATTTGCTAAAAACCTTTCGCTTCGGATTTAAAAACAAAACAGCCACTCTTCCTAAAACTCTAACCCTAAAAGACATAACAGTAGCGAAACTTCGACTGATCAAGCAATGTAAAGGTGAAGTATTAACCCAAGACGTAAATATCTTGCAAAAAATTTAGATATAAGAATACGCAGTCGACTGATATATTTTTAGGTGGTAGAACCAGTCTAGAAGACAGCTGCAGAAGACCAATCATTTTGCCATCAAAACCCTTCTTAACGAAGCTCCTTTTACAGCATTACCACAAAAGAATAGGCCATCAAGGAGTATAATTGGTCTTAAATAAAATTATAAAAAAATACTGGGTAATTGATGGATAACCGGCATTAAAATCAGAATATTCTAAATGCCAAAAATGTCGATTCTTAAAATCCAAACCTGAAATACTCAAAATGGGTCAACCTCCGACTGTCAGACTAACACCAGTACCAAAGCTATTCACTTATGCAGGAGTAGATTACTTCGACTTTCTTTACGTTACAGATGAAGTAGATAAGAAAATAGATGGGGAGTGATTTTCACTTGCTTAAGTATCCATCTTGAAGTAGCTCATTAGTTAAAAGGAATGGCTTCCAGAAAAGGAAAACTATTAGAAATTTACTTAGATAATGGTACTAACTTTATTGGAGCCTTAGAAGAACTAAAAAGGGCCTTAAGTAAATTCCAAATGATAATATTAGAAACGAGTTATTGTAAAAAGGCACAAAATGGAAATTTTTACCATGAACAGCGGCACAAAAGGCTGGAGTCTGAGAAACGCTAGTGCGATCTGTAAAAACAACATTCAGAATCGTTTTAAATAAGCAAGTTTTAAAGGATGAACTTTTGATTACACTTTTCAGAGAATACGAAAATTTAATTACCAGCAGAACAATCACTAAGGTCTCGACAGACCCAAATCTCCTACAATCTCTTACCCCAAACAATTTCGTTACAGGCACATCAAACAATTTGACAACATTTAGTAATTTAACAGAAGAGAACCTACGAAGTACTTGGAGGAAGGCCCAATCATACAAACATCAATTCTGGAAACCATGGTTCTCTTTTTTACCAAATGAAATGAAAAAATAATGTTGACTTTTAAAACATCGCTAACGGCTAAAAATGTAAGATTTTCTTTTTAACTAAATTAAATAAAAAATAATGTTGAAAATTTCCTATTATCAAAGAATTAAAAAAATAAACAATCAAAAAGTCTTACCACACTGTGCATCAACACCAGACAAAGCATATAAAATACCCGCTAACAAAATGAAATTCATTTTGAAAAATGTCTCCAAAACTCAATAACCGTCACAGGCAAAATGAATTTATATAACTAATTTAGAAAAAAAGTCCCGATACTGTCATGTTTTCGATCTGTTCAATGAATGTGACAAAAATTATTTATTGTTTAATTCCACCACTGATAAAATTTATTATGGGAATTAGCTTAAATTACATTTTTAATATTCTAAAAGGTTTCCGATAAATGCAGGGTAATACTTTCTAGTTAATTTTAGGTTTATCATAATAAAAATAAATTTAGATATTTCTAAATAAAATAAAAAAAATTCAATATCTGTAGGTAGCATATTGTGGCAAATTTAAATTTAATTTTTAATTTGTATTTTTAATATATTATTTAATAAACGGATCTAAATCGTAATTGTAATTTTTTAAGACCGACCAGAAGATATACAATTTTTCGTTTAGAAAATAAGCTTTTGCCGATCAAGACCGGAAAGTAGATGTTAGGGACCGGTAATAGTATATTACGTAACAAGAGTTGTAAGTTACCCATTAAGCACGAAGTGAAAAAGTTTACGCAGGAAGCCATGCAGCAACGAGTGCGTAAATTTCGCGAGTGCGTAATAGACTTACAACTCGTGTAACGTACTATACTTTTTCTACGCCCACTTATTTTCTTCTATTAAATAAAGGACATATGCTTGTGTCGCCAATCCATAAATTTTCGATAAATAATTTCGTAACTTTTTTTGGATTTTAGTGGTAAAAAATTATGTGTGGCAGCTTGAGCTTTTTCCAAAATCTCTGGTGGAGTGCTCATAATTTCATCACTTTCACTACTAACAGATATATTCATAGGTAAAGTTAAGAAAATGTCCGAAAACAATATTTTGTATAATGTATAATATGTTGCCGACATTAAGGGGCATCACTTTTTTAATTCAAAATGTATCTCGCTGAAACTAAAAGTTTTTATGTTTTCAATTCACTTAATTTATGTAAAAGACCTAATAAAGTCAAACGTAGATAAAAATTTGATTGCAATTTGATTAAACTAAGAAATTTAAGTTTTCTTATCAAAACGCACGTGTATGTTATGAGATCTCATTACGTGCATGTTATTGTTAAATGTCATTTACAAAAAATGTTGACAGTGCGATTTTTAACGTTGACTGACATGGGCGTAAAAAAAGCTTCTACTGGTCCCTTTTTTTCATTTTTCCGATTTCCTTAATTTTGTTACTATGGTAACACTGTTCCGATTTATTGCCAAGTGACGGATCGTAGACTTTTAATTTGTTATGTCAAACTTGTTTTCGCAAATTTAAAAATATGGATTCAGATTTTGAATTATATGACAGAAAAATAATATATTTAGTTAGTTTATGCCGTTGTATACATTATCCAGTTTAAGTATTTTTGTTAATCACTTTAATAAATAAAATAAATAATTAAGTTTACATCGAATTGTCGGTCTTGAAAAAAGTGTACGTGACGCGACTGAAAATTAGTGTTAAGCAAGTTTCTCTTCGGCTCCAGGTCTCGCCTACGGCTCGCCCTATAATCGGCTTGTCTCAACCTGAAAATCTCTACTTTCCGGTCTTGTAACGTAAATTACTATTACGAGAAAATGAATATAAACTAAAAAAGCAAACACAGTAGACGAGATAAAAACATTGGCAAGAGAACGAAGAGCCTGGAAAAATGGGTATAAGAGTACAAAGACTCCTTTTTTGATATCTGGAGAAGTAGAAGAAACTTGAGACAAAGAAAAAGAAAGAGAAAGAAAAAGAAGATATTGTTGGTGACAGTTGATGGGATGAACACATTGGCAAGAGTCCAAAAGGCCCTAAAAATGGGTATAAGAGGACAAAGAATCCTTTTCTGATATCTGAAAAAGTAGAAGAAACTTAAAAAGAAGAAAAATAATGAAAAAGAGAAAGAAGATAATATGGAAACAACTCTTTACCTTTATTTACCCGGTTATCTTTACTTATCTACTTATTTATTTTTTATTTAAAAATCGGATACGTATTCTATCAAAAGGACAAATATTTATTTAACAAAATAGACTACCCAGTGTCATATAATGCATTTTAAATGTAATTTAGTGTTGTGGGTAGCTATTTGTGAGTTTATTTTTTTTAAGGTAAAGAAAATAAAGAGGCTTTTTGATCTTACAGTGATATATTTAATGCGACGGGTTCGAAAGTCATCTTCACACACGTGTAGTGAAAAAGATAAATTGTCATTATGAAAACTGTTTTTAAATTTGAACTAATAATATTCATATTACAAACAAATTTGAACTTGTTTAGCTAAAAATTAATAGAAATTCACCTATAATATATAATGTATGATACACATTTACATATTAACAATTTGATGTTTTATTCGTACACATACTACTTAATACATAACAAGAATGGGTTATAATTGGTTAGCCAAGACTGTAGTCCATATGGAAGCACTGGCAAGACAGCTCGCTATCAACAGATTATGAACTATTCCAGTGAAAACTGGTGAAACCTACAGTATCAATTTATATTTTTAATTATATTCCTGTGATAACAAAAATTAAATGATCATTAAAGTAGCTCATAGCTATATAGATATAATATTTAAAAATGGATCAATTCATTAGAGATGTTAATTATGATATCTATGATACCTTAGAACTAGATAGAATTAATGACATACAAAACATAAATGGAGATAAAACTACATTTAATATTATTTACCAAAATATTCGTAGTATGCATAAAAATTTTGATGAATTTATGGCTCATTAAAAATAAGTATAAACACAAAATCGTAATGATAGGCCAGTTTTCAGTTTTCGAAATATGTACTACTACTTCTGAAAAAAAAACAAATCCTAATAATAGTTAAAGTGAATGATGTCTTTAGTGAATACAAAATACTTAATTATGGAGTACCACAAGGCACCGTTCTTTGTCCTCTATTGTTTAGTGTTTATAAAAATGACCTTTTCAGTATTGAAACTGAAGGTAACATAATTAGTTTTGCTGACGAAACCGTCATTATTTATACAGCTAAACAATTGCGAGGATCTAAAAAGAAAAACAAAAACAGATTTAGGTTAAATTATTGATTGGTTTATTCATAAGAAATTAACTGTTAATTTTGAGAAAACCCATCTTGTTCCTTTTTGTAGTTATAAATTCTCTTTACCACCCTTTAATGAAATACGGATTCAAAACCATCAGAATTCAACTATTAGGTCAGTGAATGAAATTAAATATTTAGGAATAAAACTAGACTCGCATCTTAAGTGGAATGTTCATGTCGAAGATATGGTTAGATCTTTAAGAAGCCTTGTTTTTAAAATTTAAATATCTTAAAACATGTCTAGATGTTCGTTATTTAAAAATAATTTATTATTCTCTTGTTCAATCGAGGTTAAATTATGGTATACTTGGATGGGGCGGAATTATTCCAATCCATCTGAAAAAAATTTATGTTTACAAAAAAAAATTAATAATCATTTTAAATAAAAATTGGACTTACCCTTCAGATTCTTTGTTTATTGAAAGTAAAGTGATGGATATTAGACAGTTACATACATATGCTGTCTTATTATTTATATACAAAAACCGCATTTTCCTAAAAAACATAGATCACAATTATTCTACCAGAAATAAATTAAATAATTTTGTAATTACAGAGGCTAGTAAAAAATCTGTGGGTCAAAGAAATTATTACTATTAATAAAATTGTCTTTTGAATATGATTTATATTTTATGTTAGGTTTTTATGTACATTTGCGTTATTTAAATTATTCCTTTTATTAAAATTCGCCAAGGCTCGTGTCGTAATTCTCATACTCGTGTCTTAATAGTTTTCATTAAATGCTCGTTGCATAATACACTATTTTTTTTACCTAATAAAAGCATAATAATAACAAAATACTGTCCTGAAATGCACAACAAAAATAAACATATTTTTTTTCTGTTAAGGACTTATCTTTATTGTAGTTGTGATAAAACTATAAATTATCCTATGTAGCTTATTATTTTCATGATCTATTTTTACCTACACCTTAAATCTACTTGCTCTCTAATCTTATCTTTCGTTTATTCACTCTGCTTACAGTTTACTAATAAACGGATTCTGTGGTGTATTAAATACAATGTAAATAGAAGGTTTAGGGAATTCAAATATTTTACAGAATAGTATGAATAATGATTTGCTACCTAAATTTGCTACCTAAATTGGTCTAATATGAACAATCAATCAAATATGCACCCCCTGGTCGAGTTCTAAAACGATCATCCGAAGTTTAGCACCTAAATGAGCTATTAGCAATTCAATATTGGGAAAAAAATAATCGAAAAGAAAAATGAGAAGAAGAAGAGAAAAGCAAGAACGTTTTATCAGTAGCCGACCCAATTTCAGTACCTAAAAGTATAGTTTGTAAAAGATATTTTCTGAACATATCAAACAAGCAGTTAATGTTTTATGAAAATGAAAAATCAATGATAAGAAATATAGTGAAAGCAGAAAGGATAAGGTGGCTGGGATATATCTGGCGAATGATCAAGGGAATTATATTACTGAAATTTTGGAATATCAAAGCAAAACTCGCCTTATCCACATTTTATGAAAATTGAGTTAAATATTGCATTATTTAGCCTAAGTTGCCTCGCAAATACATTGATTACACTTTCATTAGCCCGTGTAAAAATTTCTTTAATTGTACCTAGGATTTAACAAAAACAATATCACTGTAAGGAACATGATCATCTATACAGATAGCAGACAAGTACTACTCACCCTGAACAGACCACAAATTTATTCAGAGTTAGTACCAGAATGTTGCGAAGCTTTGGCCGAAGTATCCATCAACAATGTGGCACCTTCAGATGGATTAAACGTCACGCCACATCAAAAGGTAACCGTCTTGTTGATTCACTAGCCAAGAAATCAGCCAACGAAATACTTTTTGGACCTGGCCCTTCTATTGGCCTGACAAAATCGGTAGTGACAGACCTAATCAAAGAACGTTCCCTTGTGAAATTC